GGGCCGCAGCCTACCTCGCACTTGTGGATGACCGAGCCGTAGGCCTTGGACTCCGTGCGGTCCCCGTAGGTGCCCGCGCGCAGGCCCCGGGCCTCGGCGCCCAGCTCCTGCCCCGAGTCTGTGCTCGCTGACTCCTCACTCTCCTCGGGGGCTTCTCCCTTCTCCAGCTGCGGCCCCTCTTCCTTGACCGCAGCTGGCCTGGTGCTCTCCTCCCGCGGGTCGTCTCCCTTCCTGGCCGGCTCCACCTCCATCTCTGCGAGCGAAGGGCAGGCGCTGAGGCCGAGAGGCGCCGGGGCCTCCCAGCGGCCTCCGAGCAGGCAGGCGCCAGAGGGCAGCCTGGCAACTGGTCAGGCCAGCGCTGCTGCAGCCCCTGCACGCTCGCACTCTCTGAGGGCATGAGGCAGGCCCAGCGACATGGAGACTGCTGACCAGGTCATCCCCAGGGGCAGCTGGCCTCCTGCGTGGGAGGCTGCAGGCGGGGCTCCGTCCACGGGCCCGGGCAGGCAGGAGCATCCACGCACAGCTGTGGGCTGAGGGCTGTGGGCTGAGGCACCCGGGCGCGCGGCCTGGAGGGGCAGAAGCGCCCCGCCCAGCCAGTGCCGCGCTGTGCTGAGGAGACGCCGGTGGCGCCGCCGGAGCAGGGCCACGCGCGAAGGCAAGGCTCGGGAGTGAGAAGTCGCCCGCCAAAAGCTGAAGAGAAGGGCGGCTCAGAGGGCCGGGAGCGGGACGGTCCGTGTGGGGAGTGGGCACTGGCGCCTGCGGCCGTGCAGGTACCTTGCTCCGAGCTCTCAGACAAGGCGGCCTCAGCCTCGGCGGCGGCCATGCCACTCGTGGGGTCGGGCTTGAGCTCCACTGGCGGCTCCCGGGGGGCGTCGGCCTTCTCCGTCTGCTCTGCACCTGGGGTGCGGTGGAGACACGGGAGGCTGGCGGGGGCCTTGGCTGGTGCGGGGGCTCCGGGAGCGGCCCCCACAGTGCCGCACCTGGGCGGGCCGCCCATCTGTGCCGGGGCTGCCTGTGGCCTTGCTCTGGCTGGAACGGGCACCCCAAACTAGCAAGTGGTGGTTCTGAGGTCAGAACCAACTGGTGGTGGGATCAAGGGGTGCCGCTGCCTACGGCTTGTTCCCTGCCCCAGAAGCCTCCCGAAGAAGCCGACTGACGGGACCTCGGCGTCACGACTCACCGCTGGCCGCGCTCTCGGCCTGGCCACCTCGCTCTTCTTTGGGCTCCCGGCCTGGGCCCGCGGGTGGACTGCCTCCAGCTGGGTCCGGCTGGCTCGCTGTGGCGCCAGCAGCCTTCTCCTCTTTGGCTCTCTTGTCCCCTCCTGGAAACGGAGCAGGACGCACCTGCTGTTTCCCATCCAGGGCCCACCATTCGGAGAGGTGAGGTGGCCAGAACTGGCTAGCTCCCAGAGCCCCTGCGAGTCCAGCTAAGGCGTGGTTTGTGGGCGTCTTCTCAGGCACCTACCCCCGCTGAGCTGCTGGTTGGGCTCAGGGATACAACAGTTGTGCTGCGGCCCCGGGAGCCCGCAGGCTGTTGGGGAGACACCTCACACAGCTGAGGGCACACAGAGATCAGCCTGGGAGACCACGTGGCGCTCTGAGTGTCGCCACCAGGAAGCTGGCCTCTGGCACTGGATGTCAGCGGGCTTCCTGGAGGTGGCAGGCAGGGCGGGGCGTTCACAGGAGCCCACATGCCAGGCCTGGAACTGGCACGGCCACAAAGGAGCTACTGAAAGGTGCTAAGGAGTGAGCACGGCGGTCAGACGCGGGAGCTGGGACCCGGAGCGGTGACCCCGAGAGGCACGGCAGAGCCCGCCTCCGTCAGGAGCACCTGCCAGTAATCTTACCTTCTGTGGCCAAGACCTCTGGACTCTGCCCAGGGCTGGGCGCTGGCTCCGTGAGCGACTTGAGGGCGTGGCAGGCCGTGATGACGTCCTGCATGTGCAGGAAGCTGGCCACAGCCAGCACGTCGTCCACGTTCTCGGCGCTCAGGCTCAGCTTGGCTGTGTACATGAACTCCAGCACCTGCCCCAGGCCTGCCGAGGACAGACGGCCGTCACGGACTGGCTCCGGCCTGGCCCCAGCAGCCGCGTCACGCTCCGCTCCGCTCCGCAGCAGGGAGCAGTGACTGGCGAAGAGCAGAGTGGCTCCCTGCACCGCCCTCTCCTGTGCCACGGGGGCAGCCTAGAAACAGCCTGCAAAAAGCAGTACCCCACGGAGGACGGCTGGGAACGCCCCCTGCATGGAGAACGGGGCGCGAACGCCGGAACGCCCACCCTGTACTCTCGCCCCAGCTACTCCACTTCTCCACACCGGACACCCCGAGCAGAGTGTGTCCACAGTGGCTGTGCTATGGCCTCTCTAGCTGACCGCCAGGCCAGTCACCTGACCTCTGGTCTCAGTTTCCACATCTGTAAAATAGGGGACACACCTTACCCTGGCCTCAGAGCCCAGATCCAGGGTCAGTCCCTCCCTCAATCCCCAAGTCTTTCCACAGCGGCCCTGCCCTGGCTCCCTGCGCTGGGGCAGTGCTGCTGGCTCGGCAATGAGGAGAGGCCGGGGCTGAGGGGCCGGTCTGCCCTGTCCCTCCTGATTGCCTGTTCTGCGTTCACCTGGGCCTGGAGCTTACGAGCCCTTCCCACCAATTCTCCCCCTCCAGCCCCGCCCCCCATCAAAACAGGCCCTCCACAGTGTGGCTGGGACCTGGTACCCACACCCTCATGGCCCAGTCCTATGCAGGAGGCCTGGACCGACCCCCCGTGTGAAGGTGCTGCTCTCCAGAGGCCAGGGGTTGTGTGCACAGGCCAGCCCCAATTCTGGCCTTCAACAAGCCGGGCCCTCGGCCCAACGGGGTACCTGCCGCGTTACTGATGTCCAGGTGCACCACGTCCTTCTGGTCCACGAAGAGCATCTTGAAGTACTCGCTGCAGGCCGCCAGCACAGCTTTATGGGCCTTGAAGTCAACACCATCCACCACAAAAGTGCAGTCACACAAAAGCCCCAGTTGCCGCTGCTGGTTCAGCTGCTCCAAGACGTGCTGGCTGTGCTGGGGGAAATCCATGGCTGGGGAAAGCCAGAGGGCCGTGGTGTTAGCTCAGAGGGGTCGCCGCCGGCTCCGAAACTCCCAGGTGAGAAACGTGGGGCAGCCGGGAAGAATTCAAACAAGCCCCAAAGGGCAGCCCTCCTGCAAGCCAGGCCCCACTGTGGCCAAGGACACCTGGGCTGACTGGCCAGGAACGTTCCAAGAGCCAAACGCATCAAAGGACCAGCACAATGTGACACCTTTGTGTCTAGCAGAGTAACAGCGTTAAGAAGACACAAACCGCTGATGAACTGCCAGCATTTTCAAAACCGGAGACAGGAGTTTAACACATCTGGCGAAACAAATGCAAGATGTAATCTTAGAATAAAGGACAGCTCCTTCCACTCAGTGTGTGGCTTTAAGAACGCCCTTGAGGAGTGTGTTGGAGCGCGGCGTTCACCCCGGGCCCCCTGAAGCGGCCCTGCTGGCTCCGTGAAAGCTTCCTGGTCCGCTGGCAGAGCCCAGGGCTCGGGCGCTACACCGGGTTACGCTGCCCCTCGGCCTCCAGGAACCTCTGGCCTGGCCACGGCTCCTTTGTGAAAAGGGGCTCACTTTAATGCTTGGAAATCCTCAAAGAAAAATGCTCTGAAACTCCATGGCTGGTAGTGGCTCATCGTGAACAGCACCCCATGACTAACAGTCTCTAAAACACTCTCCACTTCCCCCACCCCACCTGTGTCAGCCTCCAGATCAGCAGTATTCTAGGGAAAATAAGCAAGCCGATTTAAAAATAAAAGTTAACACCCACGCCTGGTACATCATACAGATCACAGGCCCGCCCTGGCCCAGAATCTGCAAACTGGTAGCACTTTCCTTCCAGCTTCTCCAGAACCTTCTCTGCAGCCTGGGACAGCTCTAAATCACTCTGGGCTGACAGGGCAGGTTGAGGGTAAACTTTGGGGCTCCCAGTCCCCAGGTTTCTGCAGCCCTCCTGCCCCCAGCCACTCCCCTGTTGCATCAGCCTCACAGGGTGAGTCACTGTGCTGCAGCTCTGGAGCTGAGGTGACCATGTATGGCTGTCTGGCTGTGACAGGTTGCCACAGAAGCCACACCCCACAAGCACAGATTGGCTCTGAAGAACTTCACACAGCCCACCCTACCCATGGTGTCTGGAAACTTCTCAAGAGGGGGAGATGAATTTTCTGGGCTGGGGGGAGTCGCCAGTAGGTGGATAGAGCGCCAAGAAACAGGGCAGTGCCCTGGGCCACTGCATGCCGCCTCTGAACCAGCTTAAGGTGGTGCTGCTGCTGAGGACCCAGAAACTTGCCTTCCCTTTAACACCCAGCACTGCCTTGTGGTCCCAGCCTCACCAAACAGGCTCCAGGGCAGATCTCGTGTCTCAGGCGTACCCCGAAGTTTCTGTGGTGGGAGCGCTTAAGTGTAAGCAAGGGCAGGCCAGAAGCCAGCCCTGGAGTCCGGGGTAAGGCCGGGACTGGGCCTCTGTGAAGTCCAGCCCGTGGCATCAGCACACAGACACCAGAGTAAAGGCTGCTCCTGACACAGGCTCCTCACCAAGGCATCCTTCTCGACTCTTCAACCCCAGAAAAAGCATGTGCCCCAACGTGGGACCTGAGGGAACCCAAGAGTTCTCGAGAAAGGAACCAATGTCCATCCAGACCATGGCTAATAAGCACCAGTTGGGCTTTTAGGCCCAGGACCTGAAGGAATCTGCACCAGCCAAGGTGTAAACGGAGCTGAAGGCAGGTCGTGAAGACAGGCCTGGGCCCAGTCTCCCTGCTGTGGAAAAGGCACGTGAGCAGACAGGTGTCCATGCTTAAAAAGAAAGAAAGAAAGAAAGAAATCGGCCCATTTCACTTGCCCGTCACTTCCCAAACGCCTGCAGACAGGTGGCTGGCACAGGAAGGGTCCTTGGCTATGAAATCTACTTTGCTCAATTCAACAAACCTGAGTCCCACCCGCTCCCAGGAGCAATGACATGGTATTTAAACATGCCAGGGAGCAGGGTGCCAGGCATGGCACAAGCTGATACCTGAAAACCACGGCAGGGCTACTCGGGGCGCCAAGTCTCACCTGCAGCCCTGGGACCTAGGGGTGTCAGAGCTGCAGCCCTCTGGGGTGTGGCCAAGCAGGGCCTGAAGCCGCTCCGGCCACCTACCCTGCGAGTGGGGGGCACCGCCACACTGCCCCACCAGCCCAACGGGGCAAGAGGGACCCTCCCGCATCTGCACAGTCACAGCAGCACCGCGGCAGGGCCTGGCAGTGGGTAAACAGTCCCCGGCTGCTGCTGCCGGGAGCCCAGGGGCAGGTTCTAGTTTTTCAGGCTCGAGACCATTATCGTGTGGTTTCTACACACAGACCCTTTGTGCTGGGTGCCCTGGGTGCACTCGGCAACTGGTGGCTACTTGGCCTTGTTAAGAAGTTGTAGTCAGGCCCCCCTACTCCTTCTAAATGCGATCTGGAAAAACCTGCAACCCAATTAACATGAGAGGGAAAGAGGGCGGGGGCGCTGGACAGGACAGCCCCGAGTGAGTTTCTGTCGGGGAGCACTTTATATTGAACAGCTGTTCTGTTCAATCCTGAGGGTGCTCCCGGGTGATGGAGCTGGGGCGCCTGCCCAGAGCCCTAAGTGGGTCCCCAGTGCACAGCTCCGCCTCACACACAGTCAAATGGGCACGTGTCAAATGTGAAATATTACCCAGGTTATTCGCCAACACTAAACTGCAGGCCAGTTCCCGAACTACCTGATAAAGGGAAGCCATTAAGCCAGGAAATGGGGCCCACCACCAGGAGACACAAACCACAGTCACTGGCACCCCGCTGCTGCTGGACACAAAGAGCCATCTCGTGGCAGCGCCTTCAGGAACCTGAGAGCAGGCGAGAGGGAGCGCCATTCGGCTTCAGTGGCTCAACCGGCTCAGCGGTCCTGATTTTCTGGAAATATCGGTGGCTCCTGTACACAGCACCGCAGTCCCAAGCTCTGGCCCAGAGAACAGAGCTTACACAGGCCAGCTTGTGGAGGCTGTGGGGCCTACCTGCCACCCCCCTCCCACCCAGCCCTCAGCCTGTCCCTTCTTCCTGCACCGTGGTACAGAAGCAAATCTGGGGCCTCCCTGGTGGCGCAGGGAGCAAGCTCCTGCTACAGAGCTTGATTCCAGCCAGGGAGTGACCCATGTGGCACAGCAGACTGCTCCTATCTCCCCGCCACTCCCCTCAGCAGTGTACTTCATTGGTCTGCCTGTTCTGTCTCTGGTGAATCCTCTGACCCCCCGCACCTCTGGCCTGTACTCCATCCAGCTCTTATATGCATAAATAAATCTTTTTTAAATAATAAAAATAAATCTTTCAAAAAGATTTAACCAGACTTCCAAAAGGGGGTGGACACCCTTCTCTGAACCCCACAACCCTGCTGCTCCAGGAGGGTGGGGGGGCTGGCTGGTTCCTCAAGGAGGCCCCAAGACTGCCCAGGCAGCTTACATCCCTGTGCCTGCACTTGCCCTGAGGTCCCCTGAAGCTTAACAGGGGCGAAGGAAGGGTCTCGCTACCCAAAGACAGAATCAGACACTTTGAGTGGTGTCTGACCATTTTCCCAACACCCTCACCACCTCCCCAAATACTTCCCAAGTGTCTACACAGTCTAAAATGATATCCGTACGTTGCACCCTCTCCCCTACCCGCTCCATAACTCACTGCTGGGGGGCACACTCCCTACTTGTTCCTTACCGCTATTACAGCACCTACCCCAGGACCTGCGCAAAGTAACAAATGAATCTAGACGGGAGTTGGAGGCTGATATACAGGTGATTCTTTGAGTATGACTAACTCAGGTCAGCAGTCCAACATGACCTTGATGCTTGTTAACTGGGAAAACAAGACGAAAACCACTGGAAACCATTTCCATTCTGTTCATGCAACATCTATGTGTACGTGAGAAATAACTATCTACATGAAGGAGAAATTTCCTCAGTACACCAGAACTGTGGTGGGCCCCAGCTGCACAACCACCTGAAAATACTGCCTACTCCGAGCCCGCCTGACGTAGTGCTGGGCTGGGGCTTTGCTCCAAGTGGGGAAACAGGTAACAGACCCACGTGTCAGATACAGAGAACTGAAGCGGCGGAGGAGACAGGCAGCGCCTGTCCATGTGTAAGAGAAGGGCTGAGGAGGACACACTGAGGAGGTGACATTTAAGCAAGGTCCCAGCAAAGTGAGGGAGCGAGCTGGGCCCCTCAGAGCCCAGGTCAGTGACAGACACAAGGAAGTGCAAATGCAAAGGCCCTGAGGTCGGCGTGATGTGGCCAAGGGCGGCTTCGGGGAGCACGGCGCGGTGGCAGACACCGAGGTGACTCAGGCTCTGTGAAGGGTCGCGGTCAGGCGGGCATTTTTGAATGGTAACTGCCGGCATCAGGAAAACAAAGCAGGAACTCCCCCAGCGCTGGACCTGGGATGTGCAAAACGGCCCTGGGAGTTTAGCTCGTGCCACGTCCCACACGTGCTTCCGTGGTCTCTCTGAGCTGCAGGCACAGGGCAGAATCTCTCTGAAAGTCTGAGGTGCTGCCCCGTGGGCGGCTGAAAGCCCCCTCACAACACCTGTTACCTGGCCCTTCCGAGGGGAGGCCGGGCCACACTTCTGTCCAGAACCCAGAGGCTAGCTTGAGCGTGCTAACCTCGTACACACAGGTCTCTGGAGCGACAAATGAGAACCCAGGCCTCTGGGGCCCAGGGGGACGGCTTTTCTGTAATTTTTGTTTTGCCACTTGTAAAACTTAGCTATTACAAAATTAAAACTGAGAAACAGAAAAAAGAGGAAAGAGAAACAGCCCCGAGTCAGAGCGACTTCACTTGCGATGATCGTGAAACCTTTCAGACGTTTCCTGTGAGACCTGGTGACTAAAAACTTTTCAATAGGAAAAAATTTCTCATAAGCGAACGGCAAATTATGGTAATTTGCACAAAGAATGTATCACTTGGGAAAACTTTATGAGCAAAAATTCCTTAAGGGGACAAAAGAGAAAATCCCCAG